TTGCAACCCTCAACTGTCATTTTGTGTTTTGGTCTGATGCTCCACCCTCCACCGATCTACCAATCATGAAGTCAGTAGTATTGCAGCATTCGGGTTGCCAGCTCTGCTCTAGTTAGCACAGCTGCAGCTACAAACGTGTGGGATAGAATGAATGTTGGATCCTGCAACCTTGAGTCAGGGGGGAGGAGTAGGGGATACACCGCTCTACAGTAATTTGAAACTGATTGCAGTACCAGTTTTGGCCACAATCTTACATACAGCTCCTTTAACCGTTCTTGCCAAAATGCAAACTTATTGGGACAGTACTTGGGCCACAAAAGATGACGTTATAAAAAAAAAACAGATTGAGAAAGGCCCATACTCTTTCACTTCTGAAAATTATTAAAGGATAAATCTTGATTTGTCTGTCTTGCTTTTAATGCAGTATTAAATGTAAAACTGGATAACATTTCACAGAAAAACAGGTTTGTCAAGTGATTAAAGCTGCAGTCTCATTATATGAATCCATTTTCCAAACCGTGTTTTTGTCTTATCCTGAATCACTATGGTACACTTATAATAAGTGTTTATATTCAGACTATTTTAGACTGGTTGGGTCGTACCACTTCGGAGTTGCCCAGCTACCATGTTCTTCGGCTAGACACATGCAGTTGTTTATTAACCACAAGAGCGCCAAAAGTTACGGAATGCAGCTTTAAGTGCACTATTTACAAAAAATACTCCTTCAAACACCAGAGGCTAGACTGAAATTGAATTTGATGATAGTCACAATACAAACAAGCTTTGTCTTATTTCCCTGCTTGAAAGAGTTTCTCTTCAGTAACTCATTTTGTTGATGTCCGTAAGCGTTTTATTAATTTCTCCCGAAATAAACACTGGAAACTTTATCTGTAGACATAACGAAGCGAGACGAGAACAAGGAAAATTTGTTCCAAGAAAATGGCATCTCTTCTGACAGTTGTTTTAGTTTAGAGATCTTCAGCTAGAGTTGAGCCCAAGGTAAATGAGTTGCTGTGTGTAATAGAGTAGATTTTCATATCAATGTTCCCAGTGTCATCCCGACTTCTTGGTTGCCATGGAAATGTGTTTGCATACACAGAGCGCTGGCGCTTCAATGTGAGGTCACTCATCTCAAGTATGCGGCTTGGCTGGAACAGTGTGCTGTTTGGGTGTCTGGAACAGCACATTCCTGCCTGTAATATTTTCAAAATGGTGAAGGCTGGGAGTTTCTGTGTATACTTTTTATGAGAGAAATGGGTCCAATTTGGCTTACAACAGTAGAAATGTGTTATTGATGGAGGAACTGTTGCAGGTTCAGGAGGTTCAACAGACTTTGCTGTGATGAATTGAAGTCATGTTTCAAGTAACTTCAAGGCAAATCCGTGTTTGTTTCTTCAGCATGTGCTAGCAGAGGACATGAGGTGTATCCGCTTTTTGGCTCCGTAAACATGACTTTTTAAACCAGTTGTTTCAAACAGACCCACACAGAATCTGTGGAAAATTTGTATCCTAATATGCCCATTTTATTTTAGTAATATTGTTGGCGATGTTGACTGTTGGAAGCGGTAGAGATGCTAGCAATATTGTTGCATTGTAGGTTGCAGCATGTCATATCAGTAATCTTTTCACCCAGAGGGCGATCAGTGGGACACCAACGAGACCGAATGGCTCATTCCAGCTGGGTGATGTGGTTGTTGGGCATGTCCTATGTGGGTGCCGTCTTTGTAGACTGCTAAATAAGTCTCACATGGGGACAAATACAATAGTCTTTTGTAAACGGTCCCTTGTTTGGTGTGAAACTGTTATTGTGAAGACATTCAAATGCACTTCTACAAATCCCTGTTACAAATTTAAATTAATGCATTTGGAAGACGCTTTTATTCGGAGCGACTAATTGCATTGAATTTTTTTTTATCAGTTTATACATTCCCTGTGTATTGAACCTGTCCTTGGCATTGCTACTAGTGACGTGCTCTACTGTTTGAGCTACAGAAAGCCATGGAAAATTTCTTTGACAAATCTTGGGAACATTTTCACAGTTTTGCTTGGGCTTCATTGCCCTTGGTGCAGATCACAGGAAGCATATTTAAAGTTTTAAAGTAGAGTTTTTCCTTTTTTAACTCATGATTCTCTGAATACAGGATCTCCTGTTACATAACTATCAAATAAGAGGATGCGGGAGACAGCAAAACTCACACTCTGTTCTTTCTGTTAGAGTAATGTCTGTTTGCATATAATAGTCATTCTGCTCTGAGTAGCTTCAGTGTCTGCATATTTGACACTGTCTACTTTGTTTGTTTAGTCTAAGACGACGAAACAAAAACTGTTTAAAGGTCTCTTAAATAGCAGTTGAACTAACTGTTACCCATTTGTACTGTATAACAAGAGCTTCATTAACATGTAAATGTTTGCACAAAGAGAGTGTTCTCAGTAGCAGGATCTCACATCTTAATCCTCTGGTTCTCTGCTTTAGACTGTTTACTTGTAGTTAATGTCATGACATCACAAAAAGCATATTAGAAAATGACTGTAGACTAGACTAACTTTAGATCTTGTGACAGTGACAGGAAAGTGTGATTGGAGGAGTATGATGCCCTACTTGAGAAAACTCAAGGTGTTACTTCATACACTAATCTGATAATGTCCTGTGGTCATGTGTGTAAATATTTTTTGTCCCCCTGAGTGAAGTGGCATCAAACCCTTTCATCGCAGATGTTTCACTCCCAACAACACTCAATAAGTTGAATTCACATGCTACATTCAGTGCTACCCTGCAGTTCCTAGGTTCAAATAAAACAATCTAGACATATAAATGAGCAACACCCATGCATGGTTCTCTGAGGATTGAATCAAAGGGAAAACTCTCAGTTTAGACTAGACTGTTCCAGATGGGGGCCGCAGAGGTACCAGATCAAACCAGACACTGAAAATCATTACCATGTGAAGGTTTTAAGAGGTATAGTGAGAGACAGCAAAAAAAGAAAACAGCCATTAACCACTTGCAGTGCTGAGAATGAGCCATATCAGGGAGGGAGACTTCATCATGGGGGCTGGCAGTAGATCTTTTTTAGGTTGTTTCCAAACGGTGATCTATCCTGATGGAATTTTAAAAGAAATACTGAGGGGGAAAACTGGCAGAGAGTGATAGAATACATGTGGAAAGGCTCTTGCGTGTCTCAAAGTCTGCATGAACAAGCAGCTCCAGCTGCGGAAACAATGCCATAGCTGACCTGTAAATATCGGTAGGGAATTTCACTCATGAAGAATGGTAATAAGTTGCCTGGGAATCAGCTCTCTGTCTGGCCTGCTGGAAGGAGAACGTTGAGAGGCCATCCTCTTCCAGAGATTGAACAGTCCAACTCTATTAAATTCACATATGCAGGCAAGTGGGTTAAGATGAGACACTTTTTACTGAAATTGTAATTTTGGTAAGAAGTGAGATATTAAAGCGAAAAATCATAAATCTGCTATGAAATGATATGAGAACATCTATTATCATAAGATTCTGAATAGTTCTAAACGACATCTCACCAGTCTCTCTGACTGTATACAGTTTACAAAACTGTATACAAACTATAGTTTGACATCCACTGTAAGTTATCATACAAAATACTGTTGGATTTTTTTTTTACAGCTCTTCTCAAAGGTAAGAGCCAATGATCAAGGTTGTTTCAAAGCAACTTTATTGTGATTACAGGAAAATAATTCATTTCATCTGTTGTTCAGCTGAAGTCAGTTCAGTTTTGATTCAGTTCCATATAAAGATGATCAATTATTAAATTAGTTCAATTCGGCTATAAAGCAGTTCTGCTAAAAAATTATGTCATTGTCCAGCTCAGTTCAGTTCTCATACAGCATCAGTACAGTCAGATCAATTATATTGTTGACTGTTAACTGTCCTCAACTAAGCAAGCCAGAGGCGACAGTGGAACCCAAACTCCATAAGTGACAAAATGGAGGAGGGAAAAAAAGTCAGAATTGTCTTGTGTTTCAGATTGACAATGACAGTATGGACAGGACAGAGATTCACTCTGTTTGTTTGCGCCAAAGAATGTTTCTTTTCTCTCTCCTTTTCTCGCTCTCTTGTCTTTCAGGCACGCCATCCATGTCCCCAACAGCTGCCAAGTCCGTCATGGCTGCCGCCAGTGCCTGATGCTTCATAGTGGAATGAGTAGTCATGGAGGCTGGGAAGGGTTTTAGATTCAAGCTGCTCTCTTGGCACACTTGAATTCAGCTCCATGCCAATGCCTTTGCCTCCTAAACAGGGATACCCCTCTAAGAGCCTGGGCCCCCAAAACAACTCCATCTACTCTCCCTGTGCCAGGCAAAGGATTTATCCAACATCTTTATATGTTGCTCATATAAATGCAACCTTACGGCACCAATCCCCAGTAAGTGTTATTTCATAATATTATTCCTAAAGTAACCAATTCCAGATGATGTGAGATTTAAGATGGTATTTGCTCTTAAAGATTCAGTCCACACATTATTAAAGCTTTATGTCCTCAGAAAAAAAAAATCAGGAAATAAACAGATACAGGATAGTAAGGATTCATGATCAGTAGTGTGAAGTCAGACAAGAAGAGATCTCTACTAGTAAGGTTAAGAGTCTATTTAATAATTCCTAACAGTTAGTTATCATTGTGATTAAATGCAATAGAAGAATTTGTATTTAATATACGTATTGTGTGTTTCTGTCATATTTTTATTATTGAAAAGATTTTACAATATCTTTTGGGCAGTCAATGTTGAAATGTGTAGGCTTATAATATTTCATATGATATTCATATGTTTAACACAAAATATAAATGGGTTTTTACACATGAAAATATATATTTTCCTCAATAAGATGTCTGGTCTGTCATTATGTCACTGACATAGTAAGAATCACATTTCATTGCTTCTAAATGTGTAAAATCTTTTTTTTTCTGCTTCCTTAAAAGGGCTTAAAGACGGGCAATATTTTTGGATTGCCTCGAACGTACTTAATACCGCAATGATTTCTCATGAAATAGCTGAACACTTCAGCATTTCCCACGACACATCTCAAACTTGCATCTGATTCCTATCAGCCGTTTGATGTCAGCAGGAGGACACAAGACGTGGCATGTCCGATCCCAAAACTGCATTTCAAAAGATGAAACGTCTGATCGTTCTACTGCTCCGTTATGCTCTCATCCATTTGTGCTCACACTGAGCCCATTAAGAGAAGATTTAAAGCTTCAAAAGGTAATCATTTTTTCAGTTGATGTTCAAGGATGGTGGAACTGTCAGTTCCACTGCTGAAAATGTCAAACATCAATAACCAGCTTTTCATTTAATCAGGGTCTATGTAGGTTAACCGTGGGAGTGACGTATATGGGAATAAAATGCAGTGAGCAGATACGGGCCAAACTGTGTCCTGGTTGTCGGAATGGTGTCTGGAGCCAAACATGAAGTGTGATTGAGTGTCTGTGTCACTGCAGCCTCGGTACCATCTGCTGCCACTCTCTCTCTCTCCCTACCAGGTATTAATGAACCTGGGTTAAGTACAGTTTGACCCTTTTTAGTCTGGGTTGATTTGATGAGAAAAATGGGTCAGTAGCATAATTCTTTCTGTCCTGTATTGTGTTTTACCTCTATTGTCTTGGTATCTTGCATTGCAAAACATGTAATACTGGATTAAGAGCTGTGTTGCTTACTAAACCTGCAGCAATTGTTGTCATTTCAGTAAAGAGCAAAGTGTTATTAGCACTTACATCAGTGTTTTCCATCCTTTTCATCTTATTTACACCCACAGACCCATCAGTCATATTATTAAATTAGTCAGTGGTTTGGTATATTTTCAATGAAATGGGTTTATTCCTTCATATGGCAATTTGGATGTGAGCCTCGGCTATGTCAATTATATTAGTTGCTCATGTGTTCAGAAAAATACATTTTCTAAAACACAATTTTAATTTGTGACTGTCAATTTGATGTTTTGAGTTAAAACAAGACTTCTATGTATTTACTGCAATTAGGTAATTACTGTCAAATCAATTAGGTAATTACTGACCTACATGATGGTGTACCATTGTGGCTATTTGTAATGAGTGCACAACAAAGCAGAATTCAACAAAAACACTTTATTCATATCTAAAACAATCATGCAGGAGTGATCACAGTAAAACACAACATTAACATAAATGAGATGAGACCAAACACTGAATGGAGAAAAATAGCATTATTTAATTCATGTTGATTGAATATATTTACCTATTCTTTTGAGAACGATATTTTTATCAATATTTTTTTGCCACTATTGTCTTCTGTAAAGCTGCTTATTCCTTATGAACTTGATTCATAATTGATTAAATTTACACAGTTATTGAACTGAAGTAAACCAACACTGATCTGAATGGAGCCTAATGATGACCCTATTTTTTTTTTTTAAAGATAATTCAAATCTGTCTCATATTTAAAGTTTACATCATTACATAACCATTATTGCAATATTTAACTCTGGAGGCTCTTAGGCAATGCAGGTATCTTAATTAGTGGAAAAAAAAGCTTTATTTTATTTTTATAAAAAGCAATATTTGAATATTGCAGTAGTTCAACTTCACACAATTCACCAAACTTATCAACTCAAATAATTCTCTATGATTGTAATTACTGTGTGGTTGAAATGCAAACAATTTATTTTCCTCTTTTAGAGGTCTATGCATGACGAGAATGTGCTCTGCTCTTTGCACAATTTAGCTCCTTAACGCTATACTAAAATAGGAGGGATAATGTCGTCCATATGTACCGCCCAGCTCAAGGGCAATGCTAGAGCAAAACCACCCAGAAGAGTAGGAGGCTGGGTGAACTCACGCCTGGTGCACCCCTCAGCGTTAAGTGGCAAATCCCAGTCATGGAAAAGAGTGTAATTACCACAAATGGCTGCCAGAGCCCACTTGAAAGTGGAAAACCGTGAACATGACTGATTAATGAAGAGACTGTTTGTTTAAGTGTCCCGTTTAATTAGGCAGTCAATTTATCATAGTTAGCTGCAGTAATTACTCCACTCCTTCAATACTGGTGATGCTGTGATGGAGAAGGTCAGGCCTTTGAATGATAGCTGAAATGTGTAGGGAGGTTGTGGTTCAGACAGCCGCAGTTTCCTATCAGTCTGTCACTCTTGTAACTGACAAATTGGAATCTCACTAGAGAGGCCAATCTACTTCGAGTGAAACTAAACAAGCCAATGCTTATTGGCATGCAATCAGCTGTTCAGCCACGCAGCGTAGGTATATAATGAGCAGAGGTGCGATTGCACTTCAGCTTTTTGCTTCGGAGCCGAGCACTTCAATGTTGTTATCTACAAAAAGTGTGAAATAGGCGAGTTCTAACAGGAGGATCTCTCGTGGCTGGTGCGGGTGTTATAGCGTGGCAGTGGGTTGATTTCTCTTCTCTCTCTCTCTCTCTCTCTTTCTCCTTTGTTGTTTTAAAAACTGAGCTGTTTTCACAGCTGGTAAGGTGCACAGTGAGATCGTTGAAAGGCTGTTTTTACGCCTGGTAAGATGCCCATGTCTTGCAGGCGGAGATCCTACTGGCGAAGGACACGATAGAGCTGGTCCCTCCAGCCGAAATGAGGTCAGGGTACTACAGTCCCTACTTTATTGTACCCAAGAAAGTGGTGGGTTACTACTGATCTTGGACTTGCGAGTTTTGTATCCACAAGTTGCGTTTCCACAAGTTACCGTTCAAAATGCTCAAGCAGAGAAGCATTTTCGAATGCATCCATCCCCGAGACTGGTTTGCAGCGATCGACCTGAAGGACGCGTAATTTCATGTCTGAATTCTTCCTCAACACAGGCCGTTTCTGTACTTTGCGTTTGAGTGTTGGGTATATCAGTACAAGGTCCTGGCCTTCGGATTGTCCCTGTCTCCCCGTGTCTTCAAGAAAGTCACGGAGGGGGCCCTTGTTCACATGAGAGAACAGGGTGTTCGCATCCTCAACTATCTCAATGACTGGCTCATACTAGCACACTTATGTGAACAAAGGGACCTCGTGCGAGAGTTTAGGGAGGCTCAGGTAGTCCTTTTTGCCTCCTCAGGGACCTCCCACTGCTACTGTAGCTGTTTTAGTCCCTGACCGAGGGAACACTCGGCACGGAGGCACTGGCACACAGCTGGCCATGGGGCCTCCACAAATATGCATTTCCCCCAGTGAGCCTATTTGCACAGACCATGTGCAAGGTCAGGGAGGACGGGGAGCAGGTACTTCTAGTGGCTCCCAATTGGCCCACCCGGACTTGGTTCCTAGAACTCATGCTCCTCGTACAGGAGGGAGGCTCGAAGGCTGTCTCCCTCCACCCTCAAAGCACATGCTGCCGCTATTTCAGCTTATCTTGACCATATAGATGGCAAAACAGTAGAATAGCATGACCTGGTCATCAGGTTAGGGGGGCGAGACTGTTAAAGCCTCATCCACCCCCCTCCTTACCCTCTTGGCACCTTTCCCTAGTGCTTCGAGCACTTCAGGATGCTCCCTTTGAGACTTTGCAATCAGCAGACTTATAGTTTCTCTCCAGGAAGACTTTGCTGCTTGTTGCACAAGCCTCTATCAAGAGGGTAGGGGACCTGCAGGCATTTTCGGTTGACAAATCGTTATCCAATAATCTGACTGTAAGGATTATCACAGTACAACAGTGACAGATAAAATCTGTGTAAGCCCCCTCCTATTGTCCCTCCAGGCAAGAAGGGGCAAGATAGATTGGGTCAGCAGCTGTGGTGCTATGGTAGGGATTCCTACTAGTCGGTCACGACGTATGCCGAGAGTGACCGACTGATAGGGAACGTCTCGATTGCATATGGTCCTGTCGCCAGATCTGTTGTGGCCAGTGTGCATTGGCTCGTTTAGTTTCACTTGAAGTCATCGGTCACGACGTACGTCTCCATTCCCTGCTTCAGGGAACGAGGGTTACCACACGTAACCCAGACGTTTCTCTACCATATTCCCCTGATTCATCAAGACTGAATTACAGCAGTTATATAATGTCTGACTGGGTCGAAACCAACTCTAAGTCATGCAACAATTTTGTGTTAATCATTCGGGCGTGTACTAAGTGCTTGTGTGGTAAAAGGGAAGATGATGCAGCATTTTTGACAACATACTTTTGACTGTAAGGTTTTGCATGGGCATTTTTGGGAATTGTTGGCTCTGTATAAGCCCTGAAGCTGCTGTGTTCAAGTTTAATTTCATACACCAGAAAAAAAGAAACTGTATATGGGGAAAAAATCCAGATGAAGAGATAATCCGACTTATGCATGTGTATCTTTAAATAATTTTTTGGGGGAATCGGACTACATGGTTGAGTTTATACTGGTATACTATACTATATTTTGAGTTAAAAAAAGATCTGGATCATTAGATACTTTTTTTGAAGGAGTTGGACATTGAGTGTGCTTTATCTGTTTGATTCACTAAAAAGAGTCAAATTGTAAGAATCATTCATTCAGGAGTCGGGCTATACTGGACATGCTGTCTGTTTCGTGCTGTAGATTCAGTAGTGTTGTAGTGCAGGAAACTATTATTTCACTGCGGTGAGCATCATATGGTTCCGGTATTTAATTTTTTCATTTATTTATGGAATCAGTTCTTGGTTCCAAACACATTTGCTCTTATTTCTATTATTATTGAATAGAAAATGAGAATTTTAAAATAAAATGTTTAAAAAACAAAAAAACTCTTCATAGGTTACGCAACCAAATGCACAATATTATTAAAACATTTTAAAGAAAATTTTTTGAGTTGATGGAACACATACATCTAGGAGACGTCTATTCATTGCACACATTTCATCTGAAAGATGTATTTTTCCCCTGTCAGAAGTTAAATAGACATTTAGAAAATGTACTTAAGATGTTTATGATGTGTAGTGTATATAAACTGCTTTTGTATGTATCAGGAGGCTTGTTTACAACAGATGCATTTTTTTTAACCTTTTCAGTCCTTATCTGACATTTTTGTGAATGAAAACAATTTAATGTAAAATATTTGTGATTCTTATGCATTTATCCTTTTTTGTTTAACATAAAAAAACAGCATGCATGTTTAATAATAGTGTATAGAGGAGTAAATAATTAATTACATAATTTTCATTTTTGAATGACCTGTCCCTTTAAGAGCAGAAAGCAGCCATGCTACTGTGAAAGTCCCTTTTTTGAATCATGCCTCTATAAAACATTTCAGTTTTACTGCTTGAAGGAGTGTAGTCTGATGACTGTGCTACTGTGCAAAGTTCCACTTCTGAATCATAGTGGAAAAAAAAGATATCACTGTACATGGTCATAAAAGAATAAAACCAAACTCTGATGTCATTATAAACAAATATTTCCTAATGGAGCTCATATCTGCCCACCTTATCATTATTCACAGTGTTAGGGTAAGGCAAAGTTTTATAAATAAACCTTCAATACATAGACGCAAGCAATGTCCTCATATGCTCCTCGCAGCTGGTTGTGATCCAAAATTTGTTTCAATTCTCTTCTCTGAAATGGCTAGAAAATACCCCATGAGATTTTCATAGCAGGCAGATCCTTTGTTTTGCGAGTGTTGTTTGAGAACCTGCTAAACAGCGTGATATAGAGGAAAGAGTTGATGTGAACAGGCCTGCTTCCTGTCACAGAATTATTCGCAGCCTTGCGGTTCACAGCTCTTCCCATCGGCTAGACATCACAACGCCTAGCCAGACACCACAACATGCTGTTTTTCTGCTATTTTCACTG